TCAGGCTCCTAAGTAGCTCAGACTGCAGGAGTGAATGACCAGCGCCCTCACGACAGCTGACATCTGACCCAGCAATCCCCGCTACTGGACATATATCAGATGAATTGGAATTCCTAGATCAAAATGACATCTACACTCACACATTTACCGCAGCACTATTTGAAATCGCCAAGATTGGAATGAACCCCACTGTGCATTATAAGATTAATGAATAAAGAAAATGTAGTAGTATCCATACATGATAGAATATAATTAATCCATTAAAATATAGTGGATGGGGCTGGTAACGTGGCTTAGTGGTGGAGTGCTTGCCTAGCTTGCATGAAGCCCTGGGTTCGATTCCTCAGTACCACATAGCCAGAAAAAGCTGGAAGTGGCGCTGTGGCTCAAGTGGTAGAGTGCTAGCCTTGAGCAAAAGTTCAAGGGCAGTGCCCAGGCCCTGAATTCAAGCCCCAGGACTAGCAAAATAAATAAATAAATAAATAAAGGAATTGTGTCATGTGCAAAAGCATGAAATTGGAAGACAATTTTTTTTGTTGCTTTTGTTTTGATTTTTGGTGCCTCTTTCAGTATCTGGTGTGTTCTATTCTCTCCCTTCCCCCCCCCCTCTCTCTCTCTCTGCCAGACCTTAGCAGGAGTTGTTTGCTTTGCTAGGATGACTCTGTCCCATTCATTTCTCAATAAGCTTTAGTTGTCATTCTCATCTCACATACATACACATTACCTTCTCAGGGAAGCTTCCCAGACAGCCCCCACTACATAAGAAATACCCTGCTGCTATGTGTTCCCAAAGCAACTTATGCCTCTCTCCTCTTTTAAGAAGTACTAACTTAATTAGCCACAACTCTCTTACACCACACATTGTGTCAAGGCAGAAATATCATCTCTCACGCCCCCTAGTGTAGCTAGGTAGAATTTGATACAAAATGAAAAGTATTCATTGACTAAATGAATATTTAACTATTGAAATTTGTGAAGAGATCAAGCTATTCCCTCAATTGAAATCTGTTTCTCTGCCATTTAAATTACTCCAACAATCCCCAGGGGCTGGGTTTATAGCTTTGTGGTAGCTAAACTGAATTCAAAAGGTGGTGGTGGGGAGGAAGGAAGGGAGGAAGGGAGGAAGGGAGGAAGGAAGGAAGGAAGGAAGGGAGGGAGGGAGGGACCGAAGGAAGGAAGGAGGGAAGGAAGGAAAGGAAGGGAAGGAGGGAGGGAGGGAGGGGGGAAGGAAGGGAAAGGGGAGGGAGGACAGGAAGGAAGGGAAGGGGAGGAAGGACAATTCTATCTCAGCAAAGGCCAAGAAATGTGCTGTGACATCCCTCATGTGCTCCTTATTTCTGGAAAAGAACCTCCTTCTCCTCACAGCTCTTGGCCAGAATCGGGTGGTAACCACTGCCAAGTTCTCAGTCTTGGACTGTTCAGGCTGTAACAATTAAAGCTGCCAGAGCAGCAGGCGCAGAGCCACACTGCTGGGGATATATCTTAATAGTGGTTCTCACGACACGGTTGCCATCCTTTTGCTTGTCTTCACTGCTGAGTGAATGCTTGCAAGAATACTTACTCAACGTTCCTGGTCTCACAGCCTTTCCTATCTGGGCTGCCTTGGAATATCAGTCCTCAAATCTCAGCCTCCTGCGTAGCTAGGATTACAGGTGTGAGCCACAAGCGTCCAATTTCAATTTCTTTTTAAAATATGAAATGACTTCATTTTAGCAGGGCTTGGTCCTGTAATCCCAGCATATCTATAATCCTTAAAGGATTATATAGTGAGATCAGTCTGAAAAATAAAGGCAAAAAAAGTTCCCTGGATAAAGTAACAATCACCTAGACCACTTAATTCCAGTTATCTTACTCTCTCAAACCACTATAGAAAAACTAACTTTCATTTTAGATGTGTTATAAGAGATGCTAGACAGACAGACAGAAAGGGGTTAAAGATATGTTTACAAACATGTTTTTAAAAGTAAGATGACTCATTCAGACTAAAATTGGGAAGATGAATAAAAATTGTGAACATAATTTTGTTTTTTGTCGGTCATGGGGCTTGAACTCTGGGCCTGGGTGCTGTCCCTCAGCTCTTCAGCTCAAGGCTAGCGCTCTACCACTTGAACCACAGCGCCACTTCTGGTTTTCTGACTAGTTTGTATGGACTTTCCTGCCCAGGCTGGCTTTGAATTGTGATCCTCAGATCTCAGTCTCCTGAGTAGCTAGGACTATAGGCGTGAGCCACCAACACCTGGCTTGAACAAAATTTTAATGTAAACTTTCCAGTTGAGCTAAAAATAAAATGGACCAAGTATTTATCTCTAAACAAAACTACTAAATTATCTGCTATGAACTAACAGATAGCTTAGTTAAATGTGCAATTGATACTTGAATCAAATTATAAGGCATTTGAATATGTACCCATCACATTTTATATGAAAGGTTTTTAAAAGCTGTATGTATAAAAACTATGTCCACAGTGAAATAATAGCACACAACAAAAAGGCTCTGCGTGGCTTATTTTCTTGGACTAAATTCATTTGTACATTTTGAAGTAATTAAAAAAACTAAGCCTCAGCTGCTTTCCTTACTTTTTGTTGCTTTGTTTCTATTATGAATTGGGCACTCTGCTAAGATATCTTTTTTAAGTTAATTGTGTTTAATTCTTAAAACCTTTTTTTTGGTCGGTCGTGGGGCTTGAACTCTGGGCCTGAGCACTGTCTCTCAGCTCTTCAGCTCAAGGTGAGTGCTCTACCACCTGAGCCCAAGTGCCACTTCCGATTATTCTGATGGTTTATTGGAGGTAAGTTGCACGGACTTTCCTGCCTGGGCTGGCTTTGAACTGTAATCCTCAGATCTTAGCTTCCTAAGTAGCTAGGATTATGAGCGTGAGCCACTGGCACCCAGCTAATTCTGAAAATCCACAATAATGTAGTTCCCACATCCTTTGGGAACCATGGCTGCAGGCAAAATATTGTCCCCAGTGGACAAAGAGCTGCTAGGTGCTGTTTCTCCTTAGTGCTTTCAGTATGTCTTTTTCTACATTCAGAATAAAAACTACTACAGTAATTTAGCATATTCAGTGTCTTCTAATATATTCATAAGGTGTGCCCACATTGCTGCAATCTAGTTTTATTTATCAATTTTGTGTGTGTGTGTGCCAGTACTGGGGCTTGAACTCTGGGACTGGGATACAGTCCTTTAACTTTTTCACTCGAGGCTGGCTCTCTACTTTTGGTTCCCCATTTCCTCATCTATGCAATAAGGACCTCAACCCTTAAGGAGTTTGTGAGGGATATGATGTTCATGTATGTGGCACAAAGAAAAGTTAGCTGTGAATACTCAACCTCTCTAGCCATAAAAGAAATGCAAATCAAAACAACATTGAGGAACCTTACTGCATTGTTGGTGGGAGTGTAAACTTGATCAACCACTTTGGAAAGTAGTATGGGGGTTCAAGACTCCACATAGAGCTCCCCTATGACCCAGCAATCCCACTTTTGGGCATTTACCCAAA